CCTAAAAAACCCCCAAACAACCGTGCATAGTCTCTCCGGTCTCTCTCTCAGTTCTCGATCCTTGGATAGCTTCGCCCTACTTCTCGTCCTTCCTCCCTGGGGACATCAGATCTTTGCCCCCCAACCCTGGTTCCCAGGGCCCAGGTCGCTGGCCACTCCGGCCCCCCGCCCCCGCCCCCTCGCGACCCGCGTTCACGCTGCTCACCTGTGCTAGCAGGTGTCCCTGGCCCCACTCGCCGCTCCGCTGGTCCCCGCCAGCGGGGCTCCAGTCATCAACCGCACCCCTTGCGATGCCAACCCGGCTGCCGGGCTTGGGACTGGGACCCAGCGGCCCGCAGGACCCGGACGGCTCAGGGCAGGGCTGGGTAGGGAAGGTGCAAGGAGAGGGGCGGGGACGCGGGCTGGAACCGCCCTGTCACCGGGGACACTGGCCGGGCAGCTCAGTGTAGGCGTCGGTGAGGCTAGTGGGCAGAGGGGCTCGGAACGCAGCCACCACCCTACCTTGGCCTGGCAAGGCGGAACCCACTTAGCAGCGTCCTCTGCTCCTTTTTTCCTCGCACCAGAATTTACTAGCCAGCGGGTCCTGGCAAAGGAGCTTGAACCTCACGCCACTCTCTGCCCTGCCTCCTAGCCAGACCCCCGGGAGGCGCCTGAGTAATGAAGGGTAAATGTGAGGCAGGGCGCTGTAGGAGGAGGCGGCGAGGGCGAGAGTAGTTCTGGGTGATTTGTGGCAGGTGCCCACACTTTCTGGGTGCTGTGTGTGGCCGGCTATCCCCTTCCTCTTCCAGTCTCATCTTCCCCTATTAACCAAGCATGGGAAGGGCAGCCAGCCGGTTGGGCGCGGGACCACAGACCTTGACCTCAGTCCTGCTGCTCTCTGACTGTACAGTCCAAAGTGTGACCCTTATCTCTCAGCAGGCCCTGTTTTCCCGCTCTGGCCATCAGGTTCTGGACTTTGCCTTTGCAGCAGAGATGGGGCCGCGTGCCAGGCTGAGTCCCTGACCCATCATTTCTCCCATTATCTAATACTGGAGTGGAGGCGGGGAGGGAGGGCTATCAGACCCTCACCCAACTCTCGGCTTCACAAGGGTCACCTACCTCCTTGACTCCCAGCATCTCAGCATCCATCCCATTTTAACTCATAATGACACTACCGGACTGGGTAGAACTGCCCAATAGTTTTCAAACCTGTAATCTCTACGGAAGCAACCCGCCATAGCTTTCATTGACTGATCGCTGATTGGCTGGTGGGTTCAAACCGCCCATCTTTTGGTTAGCAGATCCACACCACCAGGTCTCCTCTTTCACCACCTATAAAACCGAAAACAAAACAAAACATACTCACTACCATATAATGATGCCGACTCATATAGGACTTCTGAGACTGTAAATCTTTATCCTAGCAGAAAGTCTCCTCTTTCTGCCGCAGAGTTACTGATAGACTTGAACATTAGACCTTGAACTAGCAGTCCGGTGCTTATCCTAGAGCGCCACCATGGTTTCGTCAGCATCTATGCTGTTGTTAAGTGTCGTGGAGTCAGTTCCCACTCATAGGGCTTCCAAGGAGAGGCTGGTTGGTTTAAATCGTGGACCTTGTGGTTAACAGTCCAGTACTTACCTTACAGCCCCACACCAGGACTCAACATCTATTTTGTTGTTGTTAAGTGCCATCGCGTCGGTTCCGACCCATAGTGATCCTGTTTAGGGTTTCCAAGGAGCAGCTGGTGAACTTGAATCACTAACCTCGTGGTCCACTTTACATTCCAGGGCATTAATCCAAAGTGCCATAACAGAACTCCTCAGCATCTATGGTGGCTGCTAAAATGATCGTTATTCAAGGAAGGGTGCTTTGCTGGGCATTACATTTTCATATCCCCAAATCATGACACACTGTCTGACACCCATCTGACAAAAGTGCAGGATATTTGAAATCAGAAGTACCCATGAGGGGCAAAGAGTCATTATTCAGGGTGATGGGAAAATTTGGAAATGGATAGTTGCATAATATGATGAATGTAATTAATGTCACTAAATTGCTCATGTAAAAAATGCTGAAATGGCTAATGTTTTGTTTTATATATATATATATATATATCTGGTAGCATAGTGGTTACGAATCGGGCTGTTAACCGCAAGGTCAAGGTCAGCAGTTTGAAACTACCAGTTGCTCTGTGGAAGAAAGATGAGGCTTTCTGTTCCTGTAAAGATTTACAGCTTTGAAAACACTGTTCAGGGTCGCTATGGGTCGGAACTGACTCGACGGCACTTAATGACAACAAATATATATATATATATCTCCATTCCATGGTCATGAAGCCCAAACACTGTAGTAGTTGGAGCTAAGTGCAGGTCTACCTCCTGAAATGGGCTATGAAGAGATTGATACAACCTCTTACTTTTGTAGAGCACTCTAAAGCTTATGAAACACTTTCAAAAGCATAATCTCATTTGCATACTAGAGGAAGGATCTCCATTCTTTCCTCTTTACCATATTAAATAATGAATGAGCTGAAGTGCTAGTCTTCACTCTGCACCTGATGACTATTTTGTTCAGAAGAGGAAATAAAAAATTTTTTGCGTGTGATGATTTCAAATTTTACTTTCCCTGCTTCCGTTCTCATATATTTGCCTTCCAATCTGATTTTTTTTGACCTTACTGTTACATGATTGCTCTGGTGGTTCAGAAAAGTTCTCTGTATCTCTAATGTTGCATCCTATACTTCCTGCTTTCTAGTTGATCAGTGGGATCAGTTTTAGGGAGAGAAGTGGGGGGGTTGGGCAGAAACTGTAGTTGTAAGAAAACTGTTTGTCTCTCCTAGCCTTTCTTCTTCCCATGCATTGTGTATTTGAGTGTGAGAGAGAAAGAGACCAAGTTAGAGACAGAGATAGGCATATCTGGGACATGCCAAGAGTAACCACGAGGGAAAGAGTGAATAAAAAAGGGAGGTGGTGATTACTGACAGTATTAAATGACACCCCAGAGAGAGCCAGTGCCAAGTGCCCCTAGAGCTTCTCCTTCCCATGTCTTTGAAGAGGTGGAAGGTGGAGTAAGAGGGAAATTGAAATTGAGAGAGCATCAGAGACAAGTCTGGACTTACAGCCCTGTGGGGAGAGCTGGCTAGACAGGCTCAGTGGACACGAAAAAGTTAACCCTTCACTTTCTTGCCTCTGCTCCAGGGCCTATCTTCAGCCTCTCAGGGAGGACAAGTTCCCAGGGAAAGTGGGAGTCTAGAAACAGGAGGTGTGGTCCTGCAAAGGCTGCGGGCTGGTGTTCTATTAATTCTATTTTGGGCTTGTTGTCAGATTGTTTTTCTAACAACCTCTGTTTTCTGTAGCCCCCTCTGTGCTGTGGAGAGGACACTTCTCTGCTGGGCTGAAAGGGAACATAACTGAGGTTGCTGAATGAAGTCTAAGAAATTGGGGGCTTGTGAGCACCTGGATTAATGCACCAGACTGCAAAGCCATTTGAACTGCAAGGTTGGTAGTTTAAGCTCACCAGCTGCTCTTTGGAAACCCTATACATGGTCACTATGGGTTGGAACCAACTCAACAGCACTTAACAACAACAAAGAACCTGGTAATTGGACCAGAGCAGGACACCTGGTTACTTGGCTTTTTGCCTGGCTATGCTCCAGACTTTCCTCACATACCTGGCTTGAGTCTCTTCCATTCCTCAGTTTCTCCCTTAGTACAGTGACCCTCATCAGGCCAATACAACCCCACAATTGATGAAAGGATGTCCATCTGCCAAGAATTGGAGTTCTGAGGATCAATGCCTCTGACCAACGGCAGTATGAATGTGACTTTCTGGGGCTAGTTTAGGAG